CTGCAGGACGTGCATAAAACATAAAATTTGAAATGTACGCTTTTATTTTATATACATTTCATGAATGATTCATTACTGTTCACATGTATTTGGAAGTTTTTGTCGAATCCGATGTTTTTGAAATATTACATATGAATGCAATTAATTCCATGTAATAGCAATAAGATGGTTTTATTTAGTGCAATCAAGGTGTACATATTTCGTGATATCACCCTGTCGTATTTCATTTATTCAACTTCAACTAGTTAATAAACCAATACAATTGATTTTTGTACAGAAATACATGTTTATGTTAGTAAATTAGAACATACTCTTCACTAAGCAGTTTTCTTACAACTAATAATCGCTCTTACATAAGATCGAAATAGTCAAGTTATATGCTAATAAATTATTTAATTGCTAAATTATCTAATGTTTTTTATATTGAAAATAAAGGGATACTAAAGGAGATATGGGCTAGTACTAAAGATGAAAATAACGAAGGTGAATCGTTTATTCATATTTCATCGAAATAAATCATTTATAAACAATATAACAGTATTTATCTATAACCATGACAGGATATATTGTGTTGATTACAGAAGAGGTATCAAAATCATCATCGGAGGATAGAAAAGACAATATTTTTCAAAATAATTACAATATTTTTCCAAATCATTGGCAGTTTTGTGTTCTATTGCATTATAATTATGACATGTTATTTATCGGATTACAAATTCGCCCGCGGGGCGGATGTAGATCGCATACATTTAGATAATTCACTAAATTTTTTTTATCCTATTTACACGAATAACATACGCTCGGTATATTTATTTCAACAAAAGATTTCTGTTCTCAGGTTTTATCCCATTTAATAATTTCAAAATTTTACAAACGATTTACTCCCTTCTCGATACAATCATGCACGTAAAACGTATTCCGGATTTATTGATGTTATCTCAGGCTGCAGAGCAACAGTGTAGTTATGGCAGTGATGTAGAAGTACTCAGCAGTATTCTTAGCAGCATTACCTGCAACAAAGAATATTATATATGAATAAATCGAAACACTAATTTATTGTTTGTTTATCTAAAAAAATTTATTAATACGTGAAATAGAAATTTCAATTTTTTTTACAGAATATATTTTATTGCAAAATGTGAGATAAAAAAATATCTAAAATATAATTCATTAAATATTTGATATTTCTTATTCTCAAAATAATTCAAATAAAATTTCTCTTATTGTTAGAAAAGAGATTTTAATTCATATATTTTTATAAAATAATAAAAATAAGATCCTTACCAATATAAGAGGATTCTCGTGTTCCTAATACAGATGCCAATCTTGGACGTTCTTCTTTCAAAAGTACATCAGCCGTTCTCTGATATAGATGAAAGACATTGGCCTGACAAACGATGTGCAGTATGCCGTTGCGGAAGTTATCTTGCATCGTCTCGAAGTCCAATCCAGCAATCGTCATTTGTTGTTGATTGTCGTTTTTATCCACGATTTTGAGGGTGAAACTTGAATTCACCTGCGACATACATTCGTATTGAATAGTTTAGAGAGCTGTTTTATTTTTTATAAAATTCTAAATAAATAAACAGTAAATTCTAAATAAACGCGACAATGATGTATGACTAATTGTTCTCTCCGAGCATAGTGAACGTGTTAAAACGGCGTAATTTACGAATCCCTAAAATCAGTTAACTTTATGTAGTGTACGTCGAGGCTTATGTTAGTCCGTTTTACGACGCAGTCAAGTGCAATTAAGCCGCATACTTCTTGTAAGTAAATTAATAATTATTTCTGGAGGGTTCTCTCTCATACTTCAGAAAGTTCACGGTTTTCTTGTTACGCTATACAGTACTTAATTGTTTAATAGCGTACGACATAATTTCAATTTTCGAAATGCTCGCAGCAGTTGGTCGACGGATCATTAAAATAGTCCCGCAAACAAATTAATTAACCGGAAAAACGCAGACGGAGCCTCGGAGAGACGTTTCGACATTTGTTAGAGCTTGCGAAAGGGTGGAACGACGACGGGGGGTACCAGTTCATCTTTAGTGCTTCCTGCCACTCGTTTACGCAATAATACGCCTCCCTCGGCAATCGTAAATGATTTGCGGTGCATACGGCTATAACCATGATGTTTATCGGATTCTTAGGACGCTCGTAAAAGCGCCTCGGAGATTACCGACTCGCTATACCAAAGTGCGAGTTCCAGATTAAATCAAGTCTATCCGGAGCGCGTCGCCGACATCAACGAGAAGAAGATCCGCGAGAAAGAGAGCGCTTTATAATTTCCTGAATTGCTTCTGCATATCCGCGCGTATATAACGGGAATATCTTTATCGTCTATCGTAGGTACATGTTTCGTGGACGACCGTGCGATTTCGTCGATTTTCTTCAATCCGCAATTGCGTCTTGTACAGTGACGTCGTAGATTAATGTCGTGTTTCCTGTTGTTTCCGTGAGACGCGCGATTTCCACGCATCTCGTGCGCCTCTCGAGCTGTCTTTTCACGCACGAGAACACGTGCTGTCCCGCCGAGACCAACCTCTGGACTGATGAGCCGAACTCACCAAAGTCCGGAAGATTGTCTGTGATGTTACATTTTATGCTTAATGCAGTCAATCACGTATAAGCAATTCCTTTCCAATTTTCTTTAATAGACGGCATTCTCCCGCTGCTTTTCGAAAGCAATTAAACTTTTACACGCACGCGAAGCAAAAAAGGCGAAAGTATTTAACTTTTAAACTGCTGATGTTTTAATGGCGGGTAATTTTAATGGAGTTATATATTATACGTTATAATTTTCCACCTTGAAAATAACGTTATTCGATATGTGGGTAGATGCTGATAGCAGATAGGCGAGCGAAGAAATAGTATCCTTTCACCAGGAAATCGTTTACATATCTTGAAACAGAAGCTCTTTCGTTCTGGTAAATTAGCGTAGTCGGGCATTTTAGATAACCGTCGCAAATTGCGAGATTAAATTAACACTAATAGATGCAAAAACCTATCGTCTCGCCGTTTGGAATTTAAGCGACCGGTTAATATCGCGAGACGTCCTGCGCGCACACACATTATTGTGGATGCGAAAGAAGATTGCGTCGGTTGGCTCACTCTGTCGTAACTAACAGAGTTAATGGATCGAGTGTACTTGAATGTGGATCTTCTCTTCGTCGGAATAAATGAAAAGATACGCGACATGGGACCTTCCATAAAATATGCAAATAAAATGCAAATTTGTTTCGCGTACGTGGAACATTGTATCGCAGCGATGAAAAATTTACAAAATGCAACAGCGAAATACTTTAATTAGTAAAATGATTTATGCTCAGATAATTGTACGTTATCGTTATTCTGTAAAAGTGCAATTTCTTCCTTTTCATTATTACGCGGTGTATTTCTAGAGACACAAATGTAATTTGACGCCAGCTGAACAGAAAATTCGAATCTTCTAAAAGGACACGGCAGAGTTTCAGACAACAAAGGAACTTTTATGGAAAACATTTTTACACGCCATCCAGGGATAGCAGAGATTTAAAAATACGTGATGGCTATTAAGGATGTTTCGCGTTAGAGCTCGCGTTTGCAAACGCGACGCAGGAGTAAGTAGAATAAGCAAGTTGGAATCAGACGTGAAGAACTTTTCAAACCGAGAACGCTGTCATCAGTGGCGATGACAAGCATAGAAAGAAACAAAATGCCACGAGGTGAAATGTTATATCAAGTGGACAAAGTAATAGCGTACTTCAAAATCCCTATTGTCAACTGCTACGCTCAACTGAATGACCTATATGATGGAGCCAATAAACATAAAGCAGTGTTTCTCAATCCCCATCTCAAAGGACACATCAAGTAATCGAAAAGAGCTAATTGTTAGATATTTCTCGATTATTTCCTTTTAAATTCTAGATTTATTATTTTCTTATATATATATTTAATGATTGTAATAAAAAATTTGCCACATATATTTCATATACAATATGTTATTTGATACGCTTAGATTAATAAAAACAATATAGTAATTACTGTAATTTATAAATTAAGAAAATGTATTATGCGTATTGCGTGCATTGAGCTTTAAAAAATTGCTAGAAGGAAATGAAAAATGGATTTTTTAAAATTCATACACAAACGAACAGAAAGCAATTCAATATTCGTTCAGCGAAACCGTGGAAAAAAATGCAAAAATTTAACTACGGCTTGGGCGGATGAGACTTTCGGAAAAATTTTGCAGCATATCCGGGAACAAGACACGGGTTGAATTAATATTTATATGCGGTTTGTCATGAGTCACGGCGCGAACAGTCGTGGGAGCTCCCTCGACACTTTTCACATTCATCAACCTACCGGTGTCCCATTGACAGTCCACGTCACGTTAGCCGGAGGATTTCCCGACGGTACCGTGCAGTTTCCACGTACAGTGTCACCGACTGCATACCGCGTCTTCTCGATTCGCAGCTGAGGATCGCCGTTCGGTAGACCTGAAACCCAAAGTGCTTTATAGCAACAATTGAATGCGATTGGTGTCGGTTATACGGTTTTTGTTGCAAGTAACGGACACGTTCGGCTATTGTTGCGTCCGGTTTCTTCGCCTCTCGCCGATTACAAAAACAGCCTCGGCGTCGCGAAAGCGCCGTGATAGTTCGACCGGCATCATTGTTCGCGGTGTCAAAAAACGTGCCACGAGAAATCGCGAATGACATTTCTTCTGCCATTTAATGACCTTAACAATCAACCTCTTTAGAAGTGTAACAAAAATCTCTGCGAGACGCATGGCGTGTCAGTTTGATATAATTCAATGATTATGAATGCTATACTTGACATGTATATCTAAACTTATCTGCTTCGATCTTTAAAATTCGAAATAAATTTTTAGACTATTTTTATTTACAGGTATTTTACGATAATATCAATGTACAATTAAGTGAATTGTTAAAATTATTTCTTGTTACATAAAGTAATAGTTATGTTTTCTACATTGATAAAATACTTTTTCGTCGTTTTTCTGTACGATGTATTGCATTTTGCTAATCATTCACAATTGTATGAACGATTTGTTTAGGGCACACGGAAATATGTGTGCGCAATGCGACAAAAGTATAATTTTTTGTACCTGTGAACAATGAGGCGAGGATTTCCGTTTATACACGGATATCACGACGGCGGATTCTGCATCACGGGAAATTGAATTGAAAGAGCGATGCGCGACCGCCGTAAATTAGAAGTAGCGTTTCCGTGCAAAGCCCGAGGCGGTGCGTTCGCGTTGCGCCTTCATAAATATAAAACGTGCTCACGCTGCGCATAGCTTTATTCAAAATTGGCCTTTTCGGGCCGCTCGCTCCGCGATAAGTCAGCGCGCGGACGTTTTCGCGTACATCATCGTCATTAAACAAAGTTTGAGCTTCACTCGCGAGAGACATATATATACATAACGTATCGTGTACATCTCGCGGGATCATTACAACGTCCACAGAAGGCAAGTCGATCCTTCTTCGCGGCCGGTAGCCGCGTTGGCGATCCGGCGAACTGTCAAGGAATTGTCTCACTTTCCCGCAGCGACTTCCGTCTCGGGCCGCTCCTTCCTCGATAATCTTCGCTACGAGTAGTGTCTCAAGGACATGACCGCGAGATATTATCATTTTCAATGCATGTCGTGTAGAATGGGATGAGATTGCGACTGGGCTCGTGAGAAGTGGGAAAAAGGAACAAAAGATGACGTTGAGGGGGGGGAAAGACGCGAGATGAGATTCGAGCACCTGATCTAGCATCACGCTTTTACGAGTGATCCGTGATCGGAAAGAGGAAGGCAATCACCTTGTCCCTTCAATGAGGGATCGCTACCGTGCTTGTGGCGTCGTTAGGTCGACGCACGACAACGACGGTGCGGTGGCGGCGGTAAGGAACGGTGGGAACGAGACCGGCGACGCTCCTCGCCGATCATCGTGTCTTCTTCTTTTCCACCGTCGTCGCTTAGTCGTCTCTACCTCCCACCCTCGACACGGTCTCTTTCTTCTCTCTCTTCTCGGCTAACTGCGTTTTAATTGGGTACGATTACGGTGACAATACTAGTCGCCGTGTAGGATAATCAACGGCGATAATGAAAGGCGCTTGCCGGAGACGTGCCGGAGAGGAGAGAGAGAGGGAGAAGAACTCGGCAGCGAGCACGAGGAACAGTCATGGGCAGAGGACGAAAAAAAAAAGAACTTAACGGGTCACGACCGAATCCGCGATTCATCACGGATCCTCGTATGCCCCCGCTGTTCGTTCCTCGTCCTCCTCCCATTTAGCCGCCCTCGAACGATAAAATGTTTTTATTGAATTTTAACAATGCGCCGCAGCTGGCACGGAATAGGTGTCGCTATACATGAAGGACGCCGCAAAAAGCGCTGTCTCGCAACAGATCGGTCGCAGCAATTATCCGCGTTACGAATTATACGAGACGATACGTTCGCGCCCGCCGAAACAACGTTAGCTGATGAAATGGTAGTTATAAATTAACGATATCCATTTAACGCTTTGATGGTATCAAATAGCGAAATTAGCGGCGGTTTTCACGCTCTTTCAACTCGAGGGGTACCAGATACGCGATAGAATGGGAGTAGAATTCAATAAGTATCGCCAATCGAAGAGTTCTATCTTGCGAACAGGTTTATTGCGTGCTGTTATCAAGGCTAACGATGCCGGCTTTTTATTATCTCGCGTGAAGGAAGCGCCTGCTGGAAAGCTATCTGTAACGTTAATTTATAATTTCTCTGTAACGTAGCACACCAGTGGCTAAGAGCCGCCGGCTTGAATTATATTTTACGGCTTTCATAATTTCATAAAATAAGAATTGCTTTTTGCATGCCATAGTAAATCCGATAAATTTGTGGCAATTAGAAATTTTATCGATCATTATTGACACCGTAAATCTTATAAATTCTTAAAATTATAAAATCCATAAAAGATTAATATCAATTATTGGCTAATAAGTTTCGTAATGTTTTCATAAAATTTATAATTGCCAATAATTATTCGCTTGAGAATTAAAATATGGCTACAAATCGTTTCGCATGTTTTAAAAATACGGTAATTTTAACAACTTTGCATCTTTTCTAGGCAACGATTGAGTTCATGTACACAAATGCGCTGGAAAATTGCGGAAAAATCGTCATAAAAATATTGCAAAAAATTAGAAAAAGCAGATGAAATTGAAAGGAGATATACTCGAGTTTAATATGTTCATGCTCTCTACGGCGTGAAGTGCAAATTTGATATCGCGTGGTGCATTCATCAACCCGTCATATGTCATAAAATGAAGTAAAAGAATTAAAAATTTTTAATTAAATTTCCACTTGCGATTTTTTTTTAAACTTCCGTCCAAAGTTCTTACTAAATTTTTGCTCTTTACTTTTCTTTCGCTAGATTTCCAAAATGTTAAAAACACTTGTGTATCTCTCTCAATTTTCTCTGTACATTTCTGTTAGTGCTGCAATCTTACTTCGCTAAAAATTTCAATCTTCCATTATTGCAATTAATCTGTTTATTGATTATTTTGTAGATAGTGACTCCGCGCTATCGCTATTACTATTTTATTACTCATAAATATCAAACGTATAAACGAACACTTTAGGCGTTTGCCCTTTTGATCACATATTTACTCGTATCGGAATTCATAGAAAGTTGTATTTGTTCAGGTACGCGTTGAGCTTCGCCTTCCAGTGCATGTCGTGTTATCTTTGCTCAGATGTAAAATACGTTTCTCCGGATACTCACTAGCTACGTGCATGTAACCGGCGACCATTACGGTATTAAACGAGGGGGAATCTCCAGAGACCTCGCAACGATATTTGCCAGTATGATTGGGCTGCACGTCCTTCAGGACCACTCGATTCGCGTCGCTCTGATTTGTCTGAAACGCAATTAACAGGTATTATTAATGATGACAGGAATATATCCTGTTCCTGTAAATTACGAGATATACGCGATATTATTGTTATAGACGCAATAATCGACGAAATCCGGCAATAATGCTTACGCTATTGAGGTTGTATTATGCAAAATATCATAAATAAACATGTGATATACTTTGAAATTTATATTTAACCAAAGCGTTTTCAACAAATAATGCGTTTTACATTTTAATCCCTTCATTTGAGAGATTATACTTATTATCATTTGCAAATTTATTACCATTTGCTTTTAATTTTATTACTATTTTATTGTGGTGCATTTTCGCATCGATTATTTTATTTCACTAAATATTAAAAATATACAGTACGTAGAGATATATGAGAGGTAGGTATATTTTTTGTGATTATTTATAAAAACTGCGTATATCCAAGTTTACATAAATATGTAAACACATCGTCGATCTGACGTTTTAAAGTAATCACTTTACAACTCCTAATGCAACTTCAAAATCATATAATGTGCCTTTTCTACTTTCTCTGCATTAAATGTCTAAATCTAGGAAGATAAATTACATAATTACACAAGTCACTCTCGTAATATTGTTTGCAATATTTCATCGTTACACCAATACACAGATGACGTTCTTTGTGATGATATTTCGTCGCGGCGAAACTATGCCGTTAAAAAGATCAAGATTAATAACGCTCTTTTCAGAGCGGCGAACCATGCGAGGCGGGATAAAAAAAAGAGCAGACTGGCCGGACGGATGAATTACATATTATTTTGTCCTATAAATGACCGGGAATGGTACCGAGGGACGCCTACTGAATTTTGAGTTAATTTAGCATCGACCGCAAAATTGACCGAGAGCCGGCAAGTGCCATTTATTGCAAATCGATCGCACTTACTCGCCCGCTTTGACGTCCTCGCGCGTTCACTCGTCCGCGACAAACAATACCTCGCAACAGGGATTAATTATATGTTGCCGGTGGCAGCGTATAAATCATACAATTAATTTTGCCGCGGTTTGCTTCGTGTTTGTGGCATCGACACGCTCGTATGCCATATTACGGATGGACGAGCGTATTATTGCGATAGAGAGAATTGAACTAATCTCCGGAGGGACATCTTTATATATAAAGCTTCTGCAACATAGTGAAAGAAAGAGCGACGTATGCC